GGTATTCTGAGGTGGCTTTTGGGAAGTGATTGGCTGTGAAGGTGCCAACTTGTAGTGAGGTGCCCCTTTGTGCTGCTGAACTGCCGCTGAGCCATAACCCCAGTACCCACCCCACCCCCGTGTATTTTAAAACTGACATTTTTTTCCTTCCTCTTCTCCCTCCAACTCAGGAAGGCAAGGTTAGCCTTCCCATCCTAGGCTGAGTTACCTATTCTTCAGCTCACTGACCACAGAAATGAAGGAATCCAGACTTCAGGGCTGGCACGGAGGATCTGAGAACAAGTCTCCAAGGCCACATGTGAATGATGTCCTGAAGGGCACACCTGGAGCTTACTTTTCCCATCCCCTCTTTAATAGCCCACCATTTCCTGGCAGTGAGAGTCACAGCATCTGGGACAGGAGACCCCTCTGTGTTCTTCTTTGTTCTTTCCTTTGAAAACAAAACAAAACAAAAAAAAAATAAATAAAAACAATTTTAAAAAATTAAAACTTTTTTTTTATTTGAAAAAAAAAAATAAAACTTTTTTCCTTTTCCTCAAAACTGTGTCCAGCATTGTGGAGGAGGATTGAGCTTTTGGTGTCAGCCTTGTTATTGGATTAATCCACTAATAGCTGGGACTCAAAGAAGGTGGCGTCTGTGGGAGGTGGGACCTGGTTGAAGATCCTTGGGGACATGTTCTTGGGACTGCCGCCCCCCGCCCCCCCCCCTCGCAAGGCGAGAAATTTTGCTTTACCAGGTGCTCTTCCACCTTGAGGGTTCTGCCTTTGGCCCAACCATGGACTGAAACCGTGAACCAAGATAAATCTTTCCTCCTCCAAGTCATTTTGTCAGGTATTTGGGTCAAAGCAATGAAAAGCTGATTAAAAACAGGCAGTGTGGAGGGAAAGTGGAAGGGCAGGAACTCCCAGGGTGTGATGGGGAAAGGGTTGGGCCACAGGCTGCTGCTGTCTCTGGGGACATCTGGCAAGTGATCCCCTTGGTGTCCCATTGCAGCGTGGTTTCTGGGCCTGTGCAAGAGGTGGAGTGGGCACTGCTGGTGCTTCAGTCTGGATCCAGGACACTGCTCCTCTGTGACCCAGAAATCTTTGAACCTGTAATTGGATCTCTCTCAGTGAATTGGTGCTGTAAATTGGAGTTTTGTTTTTTTTAAAAAAAATCAACCAAAAGCACTTTTTTTTTGTCCAACTGCAAGCTGGGAACTACCCCAGGACCTACCCATCACTCCTGGAAGGGACTGTGTTATGCAAATAGTGGTACTCACCCGGGTGCCCACGTGATGGCTGCTTTGCCCAGCCCTGACCTCAAGCCTGCGGTTAGGGCGGGTTGGGGAGGCTGTGCTTGCTGCCAGCTCAGTTTGTTCAAAGCCAAGCTCTGCAGGCTGTCCTGTATTTTGGGGATGTGAGTTCTTTTTCTGCATTGACAAAGCCCCAATTGGAGGCAGCCTGCTGGGGTTTGGGAAGTAGCTCTGGACACCTGGGGCATCGCTAATTTGGGACAAACGCCCACAGTTAGGAGAGAGGCATTGCAGTGAGTAGCAGGTCTCTTCTTTCTGCACCTTGGACGAGGGGGATGAGAGGCCTCTGCATGGGAGGGTGGGATGGAGGAGCTGCACAAGTGAGAGCACTTGGCCTGAGTGGAATTCTGCGCAGTTGGACCAGCTGACTCTTCCACTTCTCCCACCCCCATGGGCCTGCTCCCTAATGTTACTGACAGGACCTAGGTGTGCTGTGCAGGGTGGCAAGAATCTAGAGCCAGGGTGGTTCTCCAAGGAGGGGGCATTCTGGCCCAGCACTGAGGCCTGATGGAGACTGTGCTGGTGACAGTGGTGGTGGGTGGAAAGGTGGGGACATGGCCTGGAACCTGTGAACCCACTGTTGAGTTTTGAGAAGCAGGGGCCAGGTTTTGTTATAATCCCAATGAAAGAGGAAAGCCCTGAGAGACCCCCTTCAAAGATTCACTCAAGAACAAGAATCAGATTAGGTACAGAAATAACCTCTGGTTGCAGATGACTGGACCTGTAGATGACAGCCAGCTAGGCAGCGATTAGTTCCCAAGAACAAGTCTTACCAACATTATAAATTCATAAAGTTACAGAAAATTTTGTTAGCATTTTATTAAGAATGCTTGTTCTGCCCAAACCAGGTTATTTTCCAGTGCTTTGAAGGAACTAGACAGAGCTCATGAGGAGGACCTCTCCAGCAGATCCAGGCCCCAAAGTGGATATAGATAGGGACACTAGAGCTGGCACTTACAGCAACCAGGAACCCCCAGTGCAGAACCCAGAGCAGGTCTGGCTGGGATGGGCTGAGAAGCAGCTGCCATCCTGTGCAGGGTGCCAGAAGCATGGAACCCTGCACAGGTCCAAGGGCCTGAGGAATTCAGGCACTGTGATGTGAACCCTGAACTGGTCACCTTCCAGTCTTCCAAGACAGGGCAGGGGCTACTTAAAGTAAGTCTGGGAAGAGAAGACTTGGACACAGAAACAATGGTATCATTTTGCAAATCTTGTTCAGATTTTGCAGTCCTGGGGAATGGATACCGAAGAAGACCCGTCCTAAACCAGGCCAGCCTGAGGCAATGAACACAGGTTTTGGATCGGAACCGCAGGTGGAATGCCTGGAAGGGGATTGTTTATATTCTGGTAATTAAAACCAGAGTTCACAAAGGATGTGGGAATGAAGGTGAAATAGTAGACACTCCTTGGTTTAATGGAGGAAAAAGGCACCCAAAGGTTAAAGGAGGCAGGTGTGCCCAGTGCTTTGCCTGCCCAGCTGTTCCTTAACTGTCCCAACCTCCCCAAGGTATTAATGGGGTGCACTGTGGAAGGAGACACCCTTGAGAAGCTCTGGGGAGGCCAGCTAGTGTATGGCAGAGATAAAGAGGTGCTGCCTCCAAGAAGCAGGATAAAGAGACTGTGTTGGGATGGGGTTGCTGTGATGGGCAAGCCGAGTGTTGTGGCATCAGAAACCTCTTCGCTGGCCCTTTGTCTAGGACAAAAGCATTAGGCAGCATAGGGTGGGGTGGTGGAAGTAGGGTGCAAAACCTTGGATCTCAGGAATGTGTCCTGACTTGGTCACAATGCAGGGGACTGGAGTTCCTTTTGCAATTCCTGGATGTGAGTCATTCCTGGACCAGAAGCCCTCTGTCTAGGGACAGACCTGGCGGAAACACCCAAGGCCCTTTGGTCTTCCCTCAGCCTTGCTGAAGGGAGGAGCAGCCTTGGCCAGGATGGCTGGGGGAGGGGATGCTTCAAGCAAAGGGGCTGCTGGGCAGAGGGGTTTGGGAGGACAGGTGAGAGGCACATTTTGATTTGACAATGAACACAGTGGGTATGGGAATCTATCCTGTGTTAATTTCCTGGTTGTCTCATATATTGTTTGATTGATTGTTTTGAGCAGTTGGCCAGAGTTTGTGCATAATAAAAGTTTTAAAATGCATATGTGAGCTGGGGATGTAGCTCAGTAGTAGAGCACTTGCCTAGTATACTCAAACGCCTGGGTTCCATCCCCTGCATAAATAGATGAATAAATAAAGCAGAGTGTCCTGTTCATTTATGAATCTGTTTATTATATGTTTGACCAAAAAATGATTAAACATTTTTTAAATTTGTAGATGGGCACAATACTTTATTTTATTATTTATGTGGTGCTGAGGATCAAACCCAGTGCCTCACGCATGTGAGACAAGCGCTCTACCACTGAGCCACAATCCCAGCCTGAAAATTATTAAACATTATGCATATTGACTTCTGTGGCTGACTAAGAAAAGAAGATTTTCAATAATGTAAAATTGCAAAACATCTGGAAATGCTGATTTGAAATATAATAAACATTCCTTTATATGCATAGGTGAACTTCAAAGAAAACAAGGGATATATCCCTGGAGACACAAAATAAAGAGGAAGTTGAAACCAATAGGGTAAATGAGTATGAAATCTTGAACATTCTTAATACCTGGAACTTAAAGCCTTGAGTTTTAAGGCTGCATAGAAAGGAAGAGACATGGATTTGGGCACATGCAATATAATAAGTTGGAAATAAGAGTCTTATATAAAATCAGGACTTTTGAAGTCCAGAAAGACTACAGAAAAAAATATCTGCTTTCCATGAAGGAGAAATCGATGATGTTTGTAATGACCTCATCACCAAAAGTAAATCAAATCTTCTCTGAGAATGTATAGCTATAAACTTCCTTCAAATGGGTGTAGAATTTAAATATAAACTCCCTAGGTGGTTTGGAATTGAGCTGAGTTGGCTGTAGATCCTCAGCACAGGGGCACTTGGCCAGAGCAAAAATACCAGTCATCTCTAAAGGTGTGCACCCTCATTTTGACTCCTGCAAGTTCCCACAGATGAAGATTAGCCAGACATGAGATCACAATCTAAAATCACAAAACATGTAAGTATGCTTAAACTGCTAGTTAGGTAAAGGGTGTAAGGGTGTAATTAGAAAACATGAGAAGGGAATGAGAAACTATCTGAAAGGATAAGAAAAAAAAGATAAGAAAATGAACAAAATACAGCTCCAGAAATGAAAAAATACAATCAATTTTGGGAGGCTGTCGAATTCTGACTGCTGTGGCTGACTAGGAAGAGATTTCAATAATGTAATCTAAAATGCCTCTGTTGCAAAACATCTGGAAATGCTGATTTAAAGCATAATAAACATTTTCCTTCATGTGATTGGAAGAGGTTCTGTCTGTCACTTTTGTAGTGACCTGGTCACTTCCGTAGTGGCCTGGACGCTGCCCTGATCCTCAAAGTAGCAGAATGTGACTTCATGCGTAGGCATGCCTTCCTGTAGCCCCATGGACCGAGCTATGCTCACCTGTTCCTTTGTGATATTATCCCTTTACCCTATTTGGGATAGAATGTTCCATGGAAATGCCCTTTGTGTGTCCCCTTCTCTTACTCTGCCTTTGGGTGTGGCCTTCCTAGATGTCAGTCAACCTGCTGAGCGCAGACATCATGAAGCTAAACTCAGCCCCTTGAAACCTGACCCCTTGCCTCATTTGAATAGCTTCTTCTCAATAAAAGGGGCCAGCACGCGCTCCTGCTTGCCTGTGCTTTCTGTGGACTCTTAAGGTCAGAGGAGCCATCACAGGACCCCCAAAGAAAAAGGTATCTCTGTCTCTTGTGTGGTTATTTTGTGCAGCCCAGTTCCCCTGGAGTGACCCTGAGTGCTTTTGTCGCTGGGAATTCGACAATCAATAATTAAAATTTCTTTTTTTTTTCCTTCCTGGAAAATAGTTTTTATTTTTATCTATTTATTTTTGTAGCACTGGGGAGTGAACCCAGGAGTACTCTACCTTTGAGCTTTAGCCCAGCTCTTTTCATTTTTTATTTTGAAACAGGTTCTCTCTAAGTTGCCCAGAATAGCCTTGAATTTAGGATCCTCCTGCCTCAGCCTTCTGAATCCCTAGGATTACAGGTGTGCAACACCATGCCAGCCTTCTTTTAAAAGGCTGAATATTATTCTATTGTGTATATATGCCACACTTTATTTATTTATTCATATGTTGATGGACTGCTGATTCCATTTTTTTGGTATTGTGAATAATAAAATTATTATTATTATTATATTTCAATGGGCAGGTTCAATAGCAGATCAGTCACAGCTAAGAATTATTCAATTGGAAGATGGTTCTGAAGAAATGATCCAGAATACAGAATAGTCAGACTGGAAGATGAGAACACTTTATAGAAGCTAGAAGGAGAAGGTCTAATGTATGTAAGAGTTTTAAATCACTTTTTAATTCCACACTTTAAAATTTCATCAAGTATATTCCCAGTGGCATCACTGTCCGTTCCCAGAGCTCTTCCTCATCAGAGTCTCTGGGCCTGCCTCCCTGCTCCAGCCCTTGCCCTGGCCCCTCTCACCTTGGTCCTGAGTTCTCTGTGAATGTGCATGTTCTAGACACTCTGCATAAATGCAATCATACAACATCTGCCCCTTTCTATCTGGCTATTTTATGTTAGGTGATGTTTTCAACACTCATCCATAAACTCTGACAATTTGTGTTTAGATGGGGTCTCACTATATTGTCCAGATTGGTCTTCTTCTATCACTTTTATGCAACACTATAAGAGAAGAAGAAACAGGAAGCATAAGAATTCAAGAGAGGAAGTAAAACCATCTCTATTTGCTGACAACCTGATTACGTGGAAAATTCCAAGGAATTTATGCATGCATGTGTGTATATATACTGTATTATAACTCAGCACATTTTATTTCTTTGTTTGTTTGTATTTTGCTGGGGATTGGACCTAGGGCCTCAGGCATGCCAGGCAAGTGCTTTATCACTGAGCTACACCCCAGCCCTTGGCACAATCTGAAAGGTCACAGGCTATTGTGTGTGTATACACACACACACACACACACACACATACACACAGTTGTTTCTTTGTTAGCAACAATTGGAAAAATAAAAGTTAAATGAAATTTCATTTACAATAAATATGTGAAGTTAAAAATCTTAGGACTAAACTTGACAAAAATGTGTCGGAACTGTACACTGAAAGCTATTAAGCTTTGCTGAGATAAACTGGACAAAATAAATGAGGCAATATACCATGCTCAATTGGGTGATACAGTGTGGCTAAGATGTTCACACTTATAAATATTTTTATGATTTAAAACAATATCAAATTCCCCAAAAGTTTTTATTTTGGTAAAAATTGACAAGCTTATTCTAAGATTTTTAAGAAATAAAAATGACCTAGAATAGTTAACAAAATTTAAAAAGAACAAAGTGGTTGGACTTATACTATCTGATTGGAAAACTTACTATAAAGTTTCAGAAATTAAACAGGGTGATATTAAAGGAAGTATATAAATTTAGATCAACAGAAAAGAATAGGGAGTCCAGAAATAGACCACACATATGTGGTCAACTGACTTTCAACAAAGGTGCCAGAGGCAATTCAGCGAGAAAGGAAAGTCCTTTAAAGGACGGTGCTTAGAGAGACCTAGAATAGTCAGATCCATGCTGACAGAAAGTGGGACAGGGCAGGAAGGGCTGGGAGAGGGGATGGGCAATGGCCACAGGGGGAAATGTGGGCTTGGCATGAGCAGATGGCTGCACAAGTGTGCCGCACTCGACAGAACTGTACCCACAAACACATCATAGTGGAAGCACCGTGGTTCTGGGACTGAACAACCCGGGCGTTGCACCACTGAGCTACACCCAGCCCTTTTTATCAAATTAATTTATTTTTTGACACAAAGGACTAAACCTGGGAGTGCTTTACCACTGAGCTACAGCTCCAGCCCATTTTATTTTTTGAGACAGGGCTTTGCTAAGTTGCCCATGCTACCCTTGAACTTGCAATCTTCCTGCCTCAGCCTCTTGAGTTTCTGGGAGTAGAGGTGCCCAGCTAACATGGAAAATTCTATAATGAGCATATTTTGACACAATAAACATAACATGGTTCTGGAACAAATGAACATTTCATAAGAAACATACAAACATCAACTTTTCTTGACACCAAAACTAGAATTTAATTTTAATCAAAGACCTAAATTAAAAACTAAAACTGCTGGGGTATAGCTTAGTGGTGGGGGTCGTGCCTAGCATGGGTCAGCCCCTGGATTTAATTCTTAGCACCACACACACACACACATACACACACACAAAAAAACCCAAAAAACAAAACAGAAAAAAAATTGTGATAGTGTCATAGGAAAAGATTTCTTACATTAGACCCAAAGAATATTACTAGTGAAAGAGAAACAGATAAAATTGTATTCTATGAAAGCATTAGCTTTTTTAAAAAAGAGAGATTATAATGAAAATGAAAAGGAAAGCTATGAAATAGAGAACTTTTGTAACACATATATAGTAAAAAAATGTTTGTCCAGAATACATAAAGAGTTCCTAAATGTCAGTCAAACTACCCATTTAAAAAAATGAGCCATAGACTAGAACAGACACTTCACAAAAGAAGATACTTGAATGGCCAATAAGAACATGAAAAGAAGCTCAGTCTTATTAACAATCAAGAATGCAAATCTAACCCTTCAAAGAGATAGCACTAGATATCCGTTAAAATGGCTTAAGTCTGAAGGGCTGACAATGCCACGAGTGGACAGGGGCAGGTCATGCAGGAAATGGAACAAGGTGGATGTTAAGTGCAGTACCATGCTAGAAAAATTGCTTGCCAATATCTTTACAAGTTAGCATGCATCTCCATAAGGCATGGCTATTCTACCTCTAAGTATTCATCCAAGAAAAATGAAACAGGCAGTGCTCACATCTGTGATCCCAGTGACTGGGGAGGCTGAGGCAGGAGTTTCCCAAGTTCAAGGCCAACTTGGGCACTTTCGTGAGACCCTCTCAAAACAAACATAAAAAGGAATGTAGCTCAGTGGCACAGCACTGCTGGCTTCAGCCTCCAGTACTGTAAAAAACAAAGCTACGGATGCACAAATGTGTACAGCAGTTTTATTCATGATTGTTCCAAACAGGAGACAACCAAATGTGCATATCACAGATGATTTGACAAGCAAAATGTGGCATTTTCATAAAATGGAATACTACTTGGAAAAAGAAGAAAGAACCAAGTAGGACTGATCCTTAGGAGGGTTTCCTTGGGGTAGAGGGCACTCTGGCAGAAAGTAAGCCATGTCCCTGAGGAAGGGGCTGGGACACTCTCCCACAGGGAATGGAACACAGGGCTTCCTCCAGGCTAGGCAAGTGCTCTACACTGAGCAACACTCCAGACCCTTTCATTGTTTTTAGACGGGGTTTGATAGGTTGCCCAGGCTGCCCTGGGACTTGAGACCCTCCTGCCTTAGTAGCCCAAGTAGAATCACAGCCTGCATCACCCCCTGACTCCCAAAGGGTTTGAATCCCTAATCATCATTTTTGAAATTTGACAACTGTTGTGCTTCTGCTTTTCTTGCAGTTTGGCTTTAGGAGCCAACACACTTCCCGACTTCCAGGCTGAAAGTGGGCACAGCAGGGTGCAGGGCTGGCCTTGGGACCGGTGTGTTGATGGGCACCCGGCTCAGCGTCAAGGATCCAGGTGGCCTGTGGGACTTCTCGCCCTCCTCTCTCTCGCCTGCTCAGTTAAAGTGGGGACGGTAACACAACTGTTTCATTGTCTCATTCATGCTGGCCACAGGCAGGGCCTGCTTGGACGCTGTCTATGAAGCAAAGTGCCAGTCCCCAGAGACTCGCCATTAGCTCCCAGCCTCTGGGGTGAGTGCGCTTCAGTCGGGAGCTAGTTCAGGTGCAGTTCCTGTCTTCTCCACCAGGGAAAGGTGCTCTGATAGATGCCCTTCACAGGCGGCAGCTGGTTGTATATCGTTAGAGCTTTAGATTTAAAGCATTATTCTCCCACGAAATGTGGAATCAAAATTGAGATATATGTCTAGTTAAGTTCACACTTAGAACTCCAAGTTTCGTTCAAGGCTGTTTTGCCCAGGTGTTTACCTGACCTCCCTCTCAAGGCCGTTGACAATTTATGATCTATGTGTAAATTTTTATAATTGTGGTAAAAAACAAAACAAAACAAAATTCTCCACTTGAGCCATTTTTAAGTGTACAGTGATAATAAAAAGGAACTGTATACATTTAAAGTCAATAAATAATATCCCATTGCTGGAAGACAGGAACAGGGACTGGGAATCGACTGGCAACTTACAGGAATTTTTGGAAGACTGATCAGACAGGATCAGAGAGAGAAGTTAACACAGCCAGAGTTGGCTGTATATCCTAAACGTCAGCCTGGCTGCTGAAAAGACAGCAGTCTCAGAGTAGTGGCCCTACCAGGATGGAGTGGGATCAGCTAACTCCAGCTGCAGGGGACACAACTGCCCCTGAAGTACAGGGGAGAGGGTTAGAAAGGCCTCGCAGCCAGAGAAAGGGAGCTATCCCTGTGGATAGGGCTTATCTTTAAAATAAAGTTTAAAACAAGATAAAATCAAGTAAAAGCTGTGCATGGTGGCTTGGAAGTGCTCAAGAACCTCAGTGAATCACCTGTTTTTATAATTGCTATTGCATATTTCCTTTCAATTTAAGCAAGTTTTGTCATGATCTTCTGGTGAAAAAGTCTGGGACAATGTAGCCACTGCCGGTCACACCATCTTTGGACCTTGGACTGCATCACACTGTGGTCCTCAGGGTTAAGAAAGTCAATAAGTAAACATAAGAAAAGTCCTGAACTAGCTGTATCATCAAGGTGAGTCAGGATTCCCACATTAATCCAGGCCTACGGTGAACTCATGGCCCCCAAGAAAGTCTATAGACATCCCAAGAAGCAGAGTCTATAGACATCCCAAGAAGCAGACCATCAGAAAGTTCACATAACAAAACAATGGACTAGAAACTTTAAATATATATATTTGAAAAGCTAAAAACAAAAGAAACTAGGCACTGTGGTGCACACCTGTAGTTCTAACAACTCCAAGGCTAAGGCAGGATGATTACAAGTTCTGGGCCAACCTGGGCCACTTATTGAGACCCTGCCTTCAAATAAAAAATTAAAAAGGGCTGGGGATGTAGCTCAGTGGTAGAGTGCTCCTGGGTTCAATCCCCAATACCACCAAACACATACATACATACATTTATACGTTAAAAAAAAAAAAATACTTTGAAAACTTGCTTTATGTAAAAAGCCAAAAAGTCAACATAAAAAAAACAGCAAGCAGGGCTGGAGTTGTGGCTCAGGGGTAGAGTGGTCGCCTAGCACATGCAAGGCCCTCTGTTCAATCCTTAGCACCACATAAAAATAAACAAAGTAGTTTTTTTTTTAAAGCTCTTATCCTGAAAAAAAAAATAGCAAGCAGATTTAAGAATACAGCTTCTCAAAATAAAATCTATGGTCATTGAAACTGGAAGCTAAACACGGTCAAGGGTGAGTGTCATGGAAGCCATGACTGTGAAAGTCACTCAGAATGCAGCACATTCAGGAAAAAATTTCACAGGACCGAGAGGAAAGTAGCTATCAACACAGAATTCTCCACTTGCTCAATTATCATTCAAGAATAACAGCGAAGTTAGACAATTCAAAGCAAGATGGAGGGGGTTTGCCACTAACAGAAACTGAGAAAATTTCTAAAGGATGTACTTTCAGGAGGAAGAAAATTGAACCCAGAAGGAAAGAATGAGGTGTAAGAAAGAATACTGAGCAACAAAATTGATTATGTGAAAAATCTGAGTATTCCCTATTAGTGAGAATAATAACAAGAATGATTTAGAGGTAAAAGCAACATGGTGACAAACCTACATAATGGAGTTTGGTATTCTAAATTCTTTATATTACCTGGAAAAATAAACTGACACTAATTGACTTTGGGCCTTGTTAATGATGCTTGTTGAAAATTTAAGTGTAATTATGAAAATGATAGAGAATGTATAACTTCTAAACCACTGGGAGATGAGGGAAAGGGGAATTAAAAAAACCCTGATCATTTTAGTGGAGGGCAGAAAGGAGAAAAAAGCAGCATACAGAAAAAAGGAAGAACACAAAATTGATAATAAGAATCAGTTAAGATGTATCAAACACAGGAACTCACGATTGTAGCTGTAAACCTCCTCACCTTGTGTACCTAAGAACACGAAGACAAAGGAGAAGGAAGGAAAGAGATTGGGGGCCCATACTCATGGAAACAGGCACTGCAGCTGCACTAACTTTGAAAAAGTATAACCAAAGCATGAAGCATTACTGGATAGAGTGGCTGAGCAATGATAAAAGGAAAAACTTGTCAGGAAACAAAAAATAATTCTTGTTTTTTGTGGAGGTACCTGGGATTGAACTCAGGAGCACTTGACCACTGAGCACATCCTCAGTCCTATTTTGTATTTTATTTAGAGACAGGGTCTCACTGAGATGCTTAGCAGCCTCACTTTTGCTGAGGCTAGATTTGAACCCGTGATCCTCCTGTCTCCCGAGCCACTGGAATTACAGGTGGGTGCCACTGCGCCTGGCAGGAAAATAAAATATTTCTAAACCTAAGAATGTTTATTACAAGGCCCCCAAATATACAAAACCAACATGGGCAAAGTTCCAAGGAGAAATGGGTAAAGCCACCACCCCAGCAGAGATGTGTTCTGAGACAGGTCTCACTGTGCTGCCCAGCCTGGTTTTGCTATCCTGAGCTCAAGCAGTCTTCCTGCTTCAGCCTTGCAAGTAGCTGCAACCACAGGGTAGGACAGGAATCTTAACACTCCTTTCTCAGCAATTTATGAATGAAGAAGACAAAATATTAGTTAGGTATAGAATATTTGAGTAACATAATTAAGGACCTTAGTCTAATAGATACTACATATTTCTGAATACATACACACACCGTCTATATGAATTAATGGATGCAAGGACATGTACTTGCATCTACTAATTCCTGTTGAAAAGAGACGAAATATTTACAAAAATGGGCCATGTACCAGGACACAAAGACTCCATAGAATCCCCAATATTAGTATGATCTAGACCATCTTTTTTGACCACAATGCAGTCATATGAGAAATCAGTAATGAAGAAATCATTTTGAAAAACTAGTACATATTTGAAAATTTAAATAAGCATAGTCTTCAGTCATTTACAAGCTAAAATATATAACTGATGTTAGAAAATTATTACTTATTAGCACTTAAGGAACAAGTGGCACCTGAAAATTTACAGAACCAAATGTATGAGGAAAGAATTATTTTAGAAAAGGAGAACTACTAAAAATTAGTAAGTGCTTAGCTTCATTACTTAAAAAAAAATCAAAACTATTAGTGGCTAAGAATGTAGCTCAGTTGTAGAAGGCTTGCATAGAATGCATGAGGCCTGGATTCAATACCCCGTACACACACACACACACACACATACACACACAAATCATAACACAAAAAGTAGAAAAAATAAACATAAGAATAGAATAAAATGAAATAGAAAACAGATTAAAAATGGAAAGCTGGTCAGACCCAGTGGCACATACTTATAACACCAGAAATTCAGGAAGCTGAGGCAGGAGGATCCCAAGTTGACTATCTCAAAATAAAAAGGGTTGGGGATGTAGCTCAGGGGTAGAGTAACCCTGGGTTAAATCCCCAGTGCCATAATAAAAATAAATAAATAAATAGATAGATAGATAGGAAAACTGAGTCTAAAAGAAAATAAAAACCTCAGTGTATTTCTAGAAAAAGGAAACTTAGATTCAAGGTGAAATAGACTCTGAATATACCTTTGGATGTTATATAACTACAAGCAATTAAAAAAAAAAAACCCACTCATGATTGATGTGGTTGGGCAGACTTGTAATCCTAGCTATTTCAGATGCTGAGGCAGGAGGATTCCTGGGCTATTTATTTATTTATTGGGGGTCCTGGGGATTGAACTCAGGGGCACTTGACCATTGAGCCACATGCCCAGCCCTGTTTTGTATTTTATTTATTTATTTATTTATCTTTTAAAATTTTAATATTTTTTTAAGTTTTGCGCGGACACAACATCTTTGTTGGTATGTGGTGCTGAGGATGGAACCCGGGCCGCACACATGCCAGGCGAGTGCGCTACCGCTTGAGCCACATCCCCAGCCCCACTATTTTGTATTTTATTTAGAGACAGGGTCTCACTGAGTTACTTGGCACCTTGCTTTTGCTGAGGCTGGCTTTGAACTCACGATCCTTCTGCCTCAACTTCCTGAGTTGCTGAGATTACAGGTGTGTGTCACCGTGTCTGATTCCTAGGCGATTCAGCAAGACACTGTCTCAAAATTGAAGAATGGGCTGGGGAAGTAGTCAGCGGTAGAGCCCTTGTCTAGCTTGGTGCGAGGCCTTGGGTTTAATCTCCAGTCCCATCAAAGCCAAAACCAAACCCCTACTCAAAAGAATGCACCAGGTCCAGACGGTGTCATAGTCGGCTGAGCACTCCAGGGTTCCTGCCTTACAGACCACTCTGGAGAAAGTCTGATGTGAAGGGGAAAAGCACTGGACACATCAGTGAACCAGACAGGTAAGATCTGTCTGCACAGGGAACCCACCTTCTGGCAGGAAAAGAAAGATGCTGAGCAACAAATGAGTGGATCAGTCTAGAAGCCAAGAGTGGCTTCAGGAGAAAGCAGATCAAAGTGAGAGGTGAAGGAGCCAGACGGGTCTACACTGGAGAGAGGCAGGCTGGGAATGGGAAGCAGCTAGGGTCTGGCTCAGTGAAAGCCTGCCTTGTTGTCATGGAAACTAGTGGGGGCAGGGAGGAGTCAAGGGACAGGACAGAATCCTGCTTGGGCAGCCTGCAGCAAGGGGGTCTTCTGGGGCATGCTGATTGAGGGAACAGGCCTGGGGCAAGAAGCCAGAAGGAGGGTAGGGTAGGATCTGGGTGACCAAGTTGACCTGTGGGAGTGACAGATAGGGGAAAGGGACAATCCCAGCTAGGCTGCCGGGAGGCGGAACCACCAGGCAAAGAGGAGCCTCGGGTGAGGTGAGGTCACCTGGATGGCCTCAAGGTGGGATCCTGAGTGTGGAGGGCCCAGAACTTTGAGGGTTTGACTTGCCTGAGGTCTGCAATGCCTGGAGTGATCACTGAAGCACAGGTGGAAGGTCACAGGCAGTGACATTTGGCAGTGGCCTTTGCGCCTGGGAGCTACTTCAGGGCAGAGGTCTGAAGCCTGTGCCCCAGGCCAGGCACTATTCTGGGTGCTTTGCCCCCAAGTCCCATGAAGCTTGCTGTGTCTGACAGTTTGGTGGGGAAGAAGTAGGGATGGCAAAAATCATGGTCTTCCGGGAACTTTGGTCCTGATGGAAAAGTGGGGCCAGCAGAAGGGCCTAGTATCTGGTGTGGGGTTAGGTGGAGTGGCGGGGGAACTGGGGTAGGGCAGGCCAAGGATGGCCCTGACTGGGAGGTGGGGGCTGTTCAGGAGGCTTGTGGGGAGGAGCCTGGGATTACTCGCAACAAAACCAGGGCAAAGACACCCAACCAGCTTTCTCCTTCAGAACCTTCAGGAAGACATCTGGTGTGCAGGGCCCAGGCATTATTAGTTCTGCCATCTGCCAGGTGGCAGGGGAACTGGAGGACCACGGAGATCTGCTATTCATTCATTATGCACCAGGCGCTGTGTAGAGCACATGCTTTGTGTCACCCTGGGCAGTGTGAGGGCCAGCTGAGGAGACCACCGGTCTGCAGGCTACCAGGCGTTGAAGCTGTGACATGTCCTCCCCAAAGGCTCGCACAGCAGCAGCTACAGATGTAGGGAGCTGGCAGGAGAGGCTGCAAGGGCCCCCATGAGATCCAGTCTGGGCAGGTGGTCCAAAGGCTCTGGCTCGGGGGCTCTGGGTCCATCCAGGTCCATCCCTGCAGATTTGCAGGGAGCCAAGGAACAGCCAGGAGGCTCTAGACTGTTCTGCTGATTGTGGAGCAGGCCTTCTCCCCTTCCAGTCCTACTGCTGGTAGACTCTCACATCTATCACAGCTGGCTGCATCCAGGGTGCTGAAAGGCTGGGTCAAGGGCTAGGGGAAATTTGTGTGTGTGTGGGTGGGTGGGGGCCTGGGCCAAGGGAGAGGGAAAAGAGACAGGGCAGGAAGGCGGTGGAGGGTGGAGACGCCAGGGGTGGACAGCCCTAGTTTCCTCTCCTGAGGTAAGCTGCAGGAAACCCAGCCCTCCGGCTTCCCAAGGTGCTTCCTGCAGATAAGAGAGACTCCTGGGCCCCTTCCTGCTCCCTGCTCCCAGCCCCCTCCTCCCATCCTGTCTCCACACCAGGGGATCCTCAACTGCACCACTCAGGCCACACCAATGGCCTTGGGAGGGGCCTGCTAGGGCTTCACTTCCCTGTCAGGGAGGGTCCATCCAGGCTGGAGGGCAGGCACACCCACAGACAGCGCTGGAGTCTCAGCTCGGCCGGGTCACTGGTGTCCTGGGGAGGTAGAGATTGTTCCTCAAAGGGTAGCGGAGCAGGAGCAGGGAGCCAGTGGTCCCGGGGAAGAGATCCCTCCTCTGGCGGGGTTGGTGAGAAACCCCCTGCATGAGTCAGTTAGTGCTTTTTGATGGGGCAAGGGGAGTTAGGTGGATCTGTGGAGAATGGGGGCTTCTTCTGGGGTTTTCAATCACTATTCTGTGTGGTGTCAGGGTATTTCTCAGATGGCCCAGGTTGCCACGGAGAGGGATAGGGAGGTTTTCTGTGTTCGGTGGGACTGGGCAGTCCAAGGTTATTCCTGGGAGCTCCAGAGTAACCAGTTTTGTGAGGGATCCAGGGCTGCTAGTGGAGAAAGTGGGGGAGGCTGGTGCTTAGGGGCTGTTTTCCACCAGAGGCAGAGGGCTTCCAGCCAGGCTGTTCCTGAAGGTGATCCAGTGGGTGCGTCAGGGGGTGAGTGGATCACTGCGGAGTCGGGGGCTTTTTTTTTGGGGGGGGGTGTCGGTGCACGTATGCAAGGCAGGAATGGTCTCCGGGACCCAGGGCTGCTCGGTCCTCGGGGATGCGCGAAGCGCTGGGGGCCTGGGCATTTCCGCGGCTGTGCTGTGCGAGGCCGGGGCTGGCACGCGCCACGCGGGCGGCGCCTGAGCTAGTTTCCTCGCTGCGCTCCCCTCCTCCGCCCACTCAGCCCTCCTCCCGCGTTGCCACGACAACGCGCGAAACTAAAATTCACTTCCCCGTCGCAGGTGGAGACTAGTGGCGCCCCCTCCCCTAAGCCCTTCTTGCAGGTCGCGCCCCCATCCTCCCGTCGCTAAGGTGACGGGAAAGGGGCGCCTGGCGACGGAGGGGGCGGCCGCAGAAGGGGACCTGGGGGCCACAGTGAAGTCCCAAACTCCGCCGCGGGGTGCCGCGGGACCCCGCTGGGCGCGGTCCGAAGGCTGATGCGGGGGATGCGGGGGGGTTCTTTCCGCGGGGCAGACTAGAGCCTACCCCGCGCGGGGCGCGCTACCAGTCGACCCCATCGCTGGGGCAGGGTTGACCCCCCCAGCCCCCTCGGGGCCTGGAGTGGGGGTCGGCAGAGTGCCGAGAGGTCGCCATCCCGGAGGAATAATTCTCCTTGTTTCTTCCCCTGCCTGGCCTGTGGTCCTGCCCCGACGCGGCCCCCACCCAGCTCCAAGACCCTCTGCCGTCCCTCGCCCGGTGGTCCGCGACGCTCGCCCGCAGTGGAAGCGCGGCGTGGCCCTCGCCGCTCAGTCACTCCCCCGCGAGGGCTAGGGCGCCTACATCCCGGAGCAGCCCCTGGCCCCCGCCCCACGTGCGGACCCCCGCCCTCCTAGCCGACTGCCCCAGCGCGCGCGGGACCCGGAGAGAACCCCTGCGCTAGGTCCGGGGCCTCCCGCCCCCGCCGCCGGCGCGGCCCCCTCGCCACCCCCGCCTCGCTCCCGGCTCAGGCCCCCTCCCCCCGCCGCCCCCGCCCCCGGGGAAGGCAGGCGCCGAGCGGAGCCGGGGCCGATGCAGCTGAGCCGCGCCGCCGCCGCCGCCGCTGCCGCGGAGCTCCCGGAGCCGCTGTCCCCTGAGCCGGCCCCGGCCCCCCCCGGCCCCCTCCCGCGCAGCGCGGCCGGCGGGGCTCCGGCGGGGGGCCAGGGGGGGCCGGGGCGCCGCGCGGAGTCCCCGTGCGCCCGTCTCCCGGTCGTGGGTAGCCCCGGCGCCGGCGCGGGGATGGACGGCCCCGGGGCCAGCGCTGTGGTCGTGCGCGTCGGCATCCCGGACCTGCAGCAGACGGTGAGCCCCCGAGACCCTGTCGCGCCCCTAGTGGCTCGATCGCTATGCCCCCGCCGGGCGCGCTCAGCGCCCAGGACCCCCGGCCGCGGCTACTCACCCCTCCCCCGCCGCCTCCACGGGACCCTCCCCATCTCTGGGTGGGGGCGGGGCCCGGGGAAGCCCAACCCCGGGGCGGGGCCTCGGCCGCAGTGCTCGGAGGCGCGGGTCTCGGCTCCGCTCCGAGCCTCGGGCTCCCTCCGGCGGGGCGCGGCGCGCGGCGCCCTGCGCGGGACCGGCCGGGCGGGTGGATCCCTGCTCACGATCCCGCTCCGCCGCAGAAGTGTCTGCGCCTGGACCCGACCGCACCCGTGTGGGCCGCCAAGCAGCGCGTGCTCTGCGCCCTCAACCACAGCCTGCAGGACGCGCTCAACTACGGGCTCTTCCAGCCGCCCTCCAGGGGCCGGGCCGGCAAGTTCCTGGATGAGGAACGGCTCCTGCAAGAGTACCCTCCCAACCTGGACACGCCCCTGCCCTACCTGGAGGTGTCGAGCGGGCCCGGGGCGGGGGTGGGGGAGGCCGTCAGGGTGCGACCCCCAGCGCCGTGGCAGGAGTGGTGAAGGGCACAGCAGTGAGAAACACGCGGGGAATGAGTTGGAATGGTAGCAGTGCGCTGTGAGCGGTGTGTGCAGTGGGCAGTGGGCAGTGTGAGCAGCTTCGTGCGGGATAAGCAGTGTTGCAGTGTGGGCAGGGAGACTAGTGTGGACAGTGTATGTGGTGCGTGCAGCAAGCCCTGTGGGGGGTACACAGTGAGCAATGTGCAGCACATGCAGTCAGCGCGCGCGTGGTGTGAGCAGTTTGAACAGCATGTGCAGTGAGCATCCAGTATTGCTCCGCAGTGAGGAGTGTGAGAAGTGAGTGCCCCGGGGGCTGGGGGGTGTGAACACCGTTATCTGTGTGCAGTTTGTTCCCTGCCCCCCACTGAGAGGTCTTCTGAAGTGGACCTGAGTGTACTCTGCTCAGTCATGACGTAAAGGTGCCCTTCCAGGAAGGGGGGGGGGGGTTACAGAGACTGAGTCATGATAGTGAAGTCTTGTAGTTTGGGGAAGGGGGAGGGTGATAACCTCAATGGGCACTGAATTAAGAGGGTAGCTGAGGTCAAGGTTGACCTGACTTTCATGGTGACATAGGGAAGTCTTAGAGGGGTTAGAGAGGGGATATCTAGGAAGGTAAGACTGGTAGCCGATGTTGGGAGAGGAGTGGGATTTCCCAGGGAATATTGGGGATGAGAATGAGTCAGGGTAGGAGCCTGCCACTTAAGATCGCCAGGTACTTGCCTTTCATGGTGCCACATGCCACGTTCAGTGTGCTGGGTAGGTGACAGCTGTCAGCTGTGTGTCTACCATGGTAGTGTGTGCCTGGGCCTTCCATGGCTGTTAAGTGGCAGTGCCCTTGACAGATGTGTATAGGAGGGCTCTGTGATGGTGAGCACTGTGTGTATGTGTGTGTGTGTGTGTGTGAGACTGCAGATGATGGTGGTCGCCACTTTCTTCACTGGGATGGGTACCTTTTCTCCACCTTTTCTTTATCTGAGCAGTTTCGATACAAGCGGCGTGTTTATGCCCAGAACCTCATTGATGACAAGCAGTTTGCAAAGCTGCACACAAAGGTAAAGATATCATTATGGGAAGGGGACCCCATGGCCACTGTCCCCACCTCTAGCTTAGGGCTGACCCACTGATCCCCCCTCCCCTCCCCCCAAGGCCCATTCTGTTGTCAGAGGTCCAGATGTGGGTTTTGGAGCTACTGGAAGGCTGGGTACAGATTCCAGGACCATGGCCAGAGATGGCTAGTCCTGTATTGGCTCCAGTCAGATCAGACTCTCGTTATCCCCTGGCCTAGTGGGTGGAGTGTCCTGTGAGAGGCAAAGCAGACAAGCATCTGATGTGTTGATTGTTGGGGACAAGAGGCCCAGTGCTTATTACCACCTGGTGCTGAGAAGTGTTGTCATTAGGCATCTCAAGGATGCTCTCCCTAGAGGGACTCTCGTTACTCTATTTCATGTGAGCAGACTGCATGGCAGAGGGGTCAAGTCACCTACTTGTGACTGTGCAGCCAAAAGCTGGGCCCAGATCTGTCTGACTCTGCCCTGTTCCTGGCTCATGCATGAGGTGTCTGTATTGTTGGGTGCCACCTCCAGGGGGTCCTGATCTTATGAAATTTGGGGGGCATTGCACTACTTCCTCTGAATGTGCTGGGGGAAAGATGGGTGTCTTGGCCTCCCCCATGGGCAGATTCCTTGACCCCTCACCCCAGCTCTGTGGCCTAGTGTGTGTTTGTTTGCTGGACACTTGCTAGTTGGACCTGGAGCGGAGGTTAGGGTCCCTGTGCCAAGACTCCACTCATGACCCCAGATTTTCAGGCTTCTGAACCAGGCATTTCTGCCGTCTAGGGCAGGTGGTGGTCAGTGGCTCTGGCTCTGTGGCCAGGCAGGCATCATGTAAGAAGATCCTGCTTTCCTCCATTGCTCCTTTGTGATTCTGTCACTTAGGCCACTGCCCCATATTGGCTTTCTCCTGACTTCTTCCTAGTGACCAATAGAACACTAGTGTCTACTCCTTAGTGAGTCCTGCTTGCTTTGGGAATGCACTGGAACTCCTCACCACAGCCCTGCGTCCTGCTCTGGGGTTCCCCTGGCCTTGTACTCCCCCTTCCAGTCCTGGGGCTGGCTGAGGTCTCTCCCCTGAGCCTTTGCACAGACCCTTCCCTTGGCTGGAGTAGCTTTCCTCCAGTTTTATCGCCCCAACCCATGGCAGTGTCCCTAGCTGCCCCCTCCTGCCCTGCTGCATGCTGAGTGTCCAGAGGCCCTGGGCCTTTTGTGTGGTGTTCCTGCCATGTGGGCGCAGGAGGCTTTGTTGAGCGAACTGACTCAGGACTGGGAAAATGGATAAAAGGTGGCCCCCAGGGTCAGCCAGGGGGTGGGCTGGTGAACAAGGACTAGAGAAGAGGTCTTGGGAATGATGAGCATTTGGGTTGCCATAGGGCTAGCTCAGGGCTCTTCTACTCTGGTCATGTTGGGCACAGGAGCCAGGAGACAGAGCAGGACAGTGACTGAGGTTGAGGATGTGAACTTGCTTGGGCTGTGGCTGTGGCAAGGCTGGCTGAGCTGATTGCTGTGGGAGGATGTGGGTATCAGGACTCAGGGCAGGGCTTTGAGTGGCACCATGGGCTCAGCCAAGCTGGAATCGTAGCTGAGGCATGGTGTAGGGCTGAGGGTGGACCAGCTGGGTGACAGGTCAGACTGCTGGGGGTGGTGCATCTGGTGGCCTGAGGCTTACTGGAGAAAATGTGGGGTTGGGGGTCAGATGGCTGTGGTCATCTGAGACAGTTGGTATTCCAGGCAAACCTGAAGAAATTCATGGACTATGTCCAGCTGCACAGCACAGACAAGGTGGCCCGTCTTCTGGACAAGGGGCTAGACCCCAATTTCCATGACCCCGATTCAGGAGGTAAGAAGCAGAGCAGGAGGGACTGCCCTTTGAGTGGCTAGGACCCTAACTTTCATCTGTCCCTTGAACCCAGAGTGCCCTCTGAGTCTTGCGGCCCAGTTAGACAATGCCACGGACCTGCTGAAGGTGCTGAGGAATGGTGGTGCTCACCTGGACTTCCGCACTCGAGATGGGCTGACTGCCGTGCACTGTGCCACCCGGCAGCGGAATGCAGGGGCATTGACGGTCAGTGGAGGGCCGTGGGTGGAGGAGCACATGGCCTGGTGGGGCTGGAGGAAGCCAGGCCTGGCATGAACATTGAGCTGCCTCACTCTCAGACCCTGTTGGACCTGGGTGCTTCACCTGACTACAAGGATAGCCGCGGCCTGACACCCCTGTACCACAGTGCCCTGGGTGGCGGTGATGCCCTCTGCTGTGAGCTGCTTCTCCATGACCATGCGCAGCTGGGGACCACTGATGAGAATGGCTGGCAGGAGATCCACCAGGTGGGTAGAGAGTGTGCTGCAGGGCCTGGCTGTGTGCGGATGGGGGCCCAGCCTCTGTCCGGCCTCTGCAGTACTTCCCTCCTCTCTAGGCCTGTCGCTTCGGGCACGTGCAACACCTGGAGCACCTGCTATTCTACGGAGCCAACATGGGTGCCCAGAATGCCTCGGGAAACACAGCACTGCATATCTGTGCTCTCTACAACCAGGTGTGACCATACATGGTGTTCTATATGTGTGCACTGCCTGTTGGAGTGCCTCAAAGCACGCCTGTGTGCCCGCGTACACATACATGTGCATGCTGGTACACAGGTGGCTCTGTGTCCCAGCTGTGTGCCATTCCATGTGTGTCCTGTGTCCTGCAGTGAGTTGTGGTTACAGGATGGCCGTATGGGCCTTCCTGTACAGTCTGTCTCCTGAGTACAGATGTATCATGTGTGTGTACACGTAGGCCCACGAGGCCATCCTGGTGTTCACTGGGCACATCCAGACCCTCTGGGCTGCTGGGACCTTCCCAGGCATAACTACCTGGGGTTGGGGGTCAGATGGCCGTGTGCAGAGATCATGTAGATGTGAGTGCCCTATCCTACACAACTGTAGGTGCACCTCTGCGTGTGCCTCTTGCTGCACCTGGCCTGGTCTCTCCAGCCATGCAGTGTGACCCCTGCTGCCTCCTGACAGGAGAGTTGTGCTCGTGTCCTGCTCTTCCGAGGAGCCAACAAGGATGTTCGCAATTACAACAGCCAGACGGCCTTCCAGGTAGGTATGGTTCCTGGGAGTGAACTGGGGCAGCCTGTCTCTGTCGGCTTTGGTTTTCCAAACTTTGGTTCTCTGGAAGGCAACAGGGGAGAATCCACTTTCTGGATTGCTTTGGGAGGAGGTGAGCAGGATGGCCAGTGGTGGGATGTGTTGGATGCCCAGGCAGAGAGGAAGGCTGGGGGCTCCAGGCAGTGGGAGGGGCAGACAAGAAGCCCGGAGAACAGGTGTGGGCCTGATCCCCTGAGTGTGAGGCAGGGAGGCAGAGATCAAACCCCAAAGGGCACCACCCTGGCTCCTGACTTCCCCAGTGATGCCTCTGAGTTCTTTGTTTGGCCAGGCAGCCTGGAATATGTCACAGGGGCTGAGGCCATGGAGAGAGCGTGGGTCTCTTCTCAGTTGGAACACAGACCTCTGGTGAGACCTGTGGTCGTGTGGTCCAGGAGGACAGAGGCAGTGGTGCAGGGGTTTGGGCACATCTGGAAGTAGAGACGTCGGGGCCTATCAGGTGACTGGGTGACTGGCCCATCAGGGGTATAGTCAGGGAAGATGAGGGCTGCAGGTTGGCAGCTGGGGTGCCCTGGCCGACCCAGGAATGATGGTTGTGTGGAGGGGCAGGTTAGAAGTTCTGGGAGTATGTCCCAGTGTGCCTGGGACCGTCTCCTGGCTGGGAAGTCTCTTGGTCCTGGGCAGACTGGGTGGTGGGTCACTAGTTTCAGGGTTTGTGTGTAGGACCCTGTAAGTGCTGTCTGCAGCTAGTGGTGTCCCGTTGGACTGCAGTGTTGTGACTGCAGAAGACTGTGCATAGCAGCCTAGGGACCTCTGGGAGCAGCATGAGGTCGGGTGCCCCTAGACCTCCTCGCCACTCGGCGTGTCTTGACCTCCCCTTTCTCCCAGGTGGCCATCATTGCAGGGAACTTTGAGCTGGCAGAGGTCATCAAGACTCACAAAGACTCAGATGTCGGTGAGTTCTGCCCACCCATGGGCCTGTGTGGATTTGTGTGGGTATTAAAGGGCAGTAGTGGGTATTCAAGTGGCATGTCAAGGGCCCCCATCTGTAAGCCCAGGGGCATGCCCCAGAAAGGGCCTATGTTGATAAACAGATGTTTCAGTCAGGATCAAGAGCCTGGTGAGCCAGGCTCGCCCTCGGCTTAGGGTGGAACTTAGGGTCAGGGTCTGTGTTTTCTTTCTGGTCCTAGGAAGGGCCACCTGGGGGCACTGGGCTGTGGATCCCATTGCAGCCTGGAAACTGAAAGCCTTGGGAGACCACAGCCTGCTTTTAGGGTGACAGGGATATCCAGTGACGAGGGTGAAGACAGGTGGCCGGGGCAGGCCCCTGCAGTCGGGCTCTCGCACCTGGTGGCCTGTGTGTCGGGGGGTGATGTGCCTGTGAGTGACTCATGGTCCCTGGAGGAAGGCCAGGATCTGGTGGGAGCCTGGCCCAGGCAGGTGGAGGAAGGGCCAGAACACACTCTTGCCCCTTTGGGCATGTGTGCCAGGCCGGCCATCTTGTGCAGGGTGGAGGGGCTGGACTTGCAGGAGCCCTTGAGCCTCCCTCCAGGAGAGTGCTGGCCACACCCTCTAGCTGCCTGGGTGGAGTGGGCTTCTATGTCTGTGGCTCTTTCTGGAACCTGGGCCCCAGGCTCCCCTTCTGCCCTGGAGGTCTATTCTGCTGTGGCTGTGGTGAGAACCTCACGATGGTAAGGTACGAGTCTCGGTATAGTAAGGGCTGGGGTTGGACTTTGGACAAGGGTTGAGACTAAGGTTAATTTTGTGTTTAGGGTCCCTTCCTCTGTGGAATTTCCCCTGAATCACTCCTCTCCACCAAGTCCCCGGAGCCCCAGCAGGGTGAGGGCCAGGAGGACAGTGGGCAGACCCTCCACTGTAGAGGCAGCTGTGTGGAGCCCATAGGTCCTGGGTCCAGGTTCTGGCTAGGAGAGAACTGTGGGGAAGTTTGGGATTTGAATTAGGGCCAGGACAGGCTGATGGTGCACTAGAGGTGGCCTCTGGCCTGTGTCACGTGGGGGCCCTCTCTTCTGCTGTGGTGTCTGATCTGGGAAAGCTGTGAAGGTCTTGGTGCCTCACTTTCTCTTAAGTAGAGTGAGGTCTTTACCACTGTTCGAGTCCCTCTCCACTCTGGCCTCTTGCAGCTGGACTCTGGGGGGTAGGTGGCCTCTAGCTAGTTGGTTGGAGGGAGGGGGCTTGTTTGTGGTCCAGGTTGAGAGGCAAGAAGACCCTGCTGCCATCCTCCTAGGTCTCGGGGTCACCAGCGTGGAGGCTTGATGTTCTTCTAACCCAGGTGTGCTTGCTTGGTTGGGGTGAGACCCACTGTCTCTGTGCTGCAGAGTTATTTTTCAGTTTTAGGTGGACACAACATCTTCATTTATTTTCTGTGGTGCTGAGGATCGAACCCAGCGCCCCACACATGCCAGGCCAGCGAGCGCTCCGCCACTTGAGCCACATCCCCAGCCCTGGGCACACACCCTTGTCCTTTGGGCAGGAGGGGGCATTCATGAGGTTTATTCTGAGCCCCTTATCTCAAGTCACTGTCAACAACCCCCTAAAGGATGATTATTGGGCCTTTTGTTTGTTTGTTTTTTAGATAAAGAAGGAGACTAAGGCCCAGGGGGATTTGTGGCAGGGCCTGTATGTAAACCCGGGAATTCAGGGTCTGTTCTTCTTACCCGCTCCCATCTGCACACAGCTGCTCAGGGACACTCCCTGAATTGCCCCCAGGAGTCCCCCTGTCCTACTATGCCACCCCCATTTAATGACTTCCCACTTAGAATTTTAAAAAATGACCTCCCTGTTTTTGTTCAGCCACTTGTTTATGAGAGATCGACCAAAACCTGGTAGTAAGTGCCACCATTGCACATAGGAGAAGCTGGAGGGATCTGCCCACCATCTTGCTCCTTATTCCTCAGTGAAAGTATCACCTGGTGACTCCAGGGAACCCTGTCATCCTCCAGAGGCAGGACACCTCCTGCCCCTGTGTGCCTCTGGCCCACAGGGTAGCCTTCTCTTACCTTCTCAGGTATATACTCCTTGCACGTGTGTTCTCGGGGCCTTGTGGGCCATGGTGCACTTGATGAGTGCCCTGGAGCGGCACGTACTGTATAGTGACCACACTGCACACTGTCCAGTGTAGGTTCTGACCCAGCTGGCCTTGGTGGCACTGAGGTTCTGCCCTGAGCCAACTCTAGGTGCAGCAGTGTTGCGGGTCCTGCAGCCACACTGTGTGATGGGCATGGACCTGGCTTGAAAGACAATGCCCAGCAAGCATGTCCAGCCCGTAGCCCTCATCTTTTTTTTTTTTTTAATGGAAGTGAAATATACATCCTGTAAAATTTTGATTGAATAGTTCTGTGGCCTTTCTTATATCCACAATGTTGTGCAACCAATTCTTTTGAACCTCAAAACATTTTTATCTTCCATAACTACCACAGATGTGCTAAGCAGTCATTCTGCAATGCCCTCTCCCCAGCCTGTTGGCATACACACACTTTCTGTCTCTGTGGATTTACCTTTTTTGCTCTTTCATGTAACCAGAATGTGCAGGGTGACTCTGTGTTTGGCCTCTTTAACTCAACATGTGTTTGACCTTCCTCTATCTTGTAGGGTGTTTCACTGCTTTGTTACTTTTTATGGCTGAATAATATTCCATTGTTTTATGTGACATGTTGTTTATCCATTCATCCTTTGGTGGATATGTAGGTTGTTTCTACCTCCCTCCTGCCACTGCCCCTGGCTTGGTACTGGGGATTGAACCCAGGGGTGCTCTACCCCTGGGCTATATCCCCAGCCCTTTATTTTTATTTAATTTTAAATTTTTTGGTGATACTGGGGCTTGAACCCAGGGCTGCAAGCTCTCTGTCAGGAGTCACTTTCTTGATAATGTCTTTTGATGTCAAAATGTTAACTTTATAAGATCTAGTGTATCTCTTTATTTTTGACTTAGGGGTCTCCCTGAGTTGCCCAGGCTGGTCTTAAACTCTGGGCTCAAGTGATCCTCCTGTCTCAGCCTCCCAAGTAGTTGGGACTACAGACACATACAATGGTACCTGGCTAGTTTTTCTTTTATCACTCATGCTTTTGATGTCATATTTAATAATCGACTGCCACATTTAAGGTCATTTAAGCACATTTCAGTTTTAAAGAGTTCATTGGCATGTTCTGCAATCATGAATGGGGAGAATCACAGAAGCAAAATAGAGCAACTGTGCTCAGCTGGAACTTGGTTGGTGGATTCTGATTGGATCTGTTTCTAGTTTCAGTTTACCATTTACAGTGGGCTTTGGTGTGTTCATGTAGGAATTTACAGTGCCAGAGCCACCCCCATTTAATGACTTCCCACTTAGAATTTTAAAAAATGACCTCCCTGTTTTTGTTCAGCCACTTGTTTATGAGTGATTGACCAAAACCTGGTAGTAAGTGCCACCATTGCAGCTGGTTGTCGCTGTGGCATGTGCAAGGTTGCTGAACAAAAGTCCTCTGTTGTTCATCTCAGTTTCCTTGTTCTAAACACACTGTGAGACAGCCTGGCGTCCTGTTGATGCCTGCACACATTCAGGCCTTGACAGGAGGTAGTGTGCTGCAGACATTCCAGTGGTGGCTGTCAGAGGGTGACACCAGAGACCAGATGCTCCCTGGCCAAGGGCCCCCAATCAAGCTAAATAGTTTTTCTTTGGAGCAAAAGAAAAGCAAAATCAATGACTATAGCAAGCCATAAATTCAGCCGGAATCCAGAGGGAGTCAGCCAAGGAGTTTCCAGACTTGGACTCAAAGAAAGTGTGTTTCCTGGCTTGCAGTTAGAGCGTCTTGGTCATGGCATTGGGCATCTTGCTGAGCTCCCCGGTGGCCCACACTCAGGGGTGGGGCCACTCAGGGGTGGGAAGAACCCTGGAATTGCATCCAGGTATCCATCTGCAGCTTGTGGGGTTTCAGGAACAGGGCAATTCTTGTTAGTGTTGCCAAGTAGGAAAAGTGGGAGAAAATTAGATTGGAGGAATCCAGAAGAATTCAAGATCCAGTCCATCCACAGGTAGATAACAAAATTTGAAAACAATGAACTGGGGCTACAGCCTAATAACAGGTGCACCGTGGTTTTCCACCAAGGCATAATTTTTGTCTCTGTAGTTGTCCTAGTTTCTGCCAAGGTAATCAGAGTAAGATTGATTGAATGTGCAGTAATTCAGCCGTGTGAAATCTGGCCAGAGTTTATGTAAAGGCAGCACAGATGGTAGTTGACCACGTAGGCCCTTTACATTTGTTTAGTTGGTACTTTTTATAAGGAACCTTAGATTGGACTTTTAAAAACTTCGAAAGCTAGAAGTCAAATTAAGGCAAATCAAATGTTACCTACAGTGCTTGTAGAGTTAGGAGAATTCTGTCTCCCAAGGTCTCCAAAACATCTTGAGGTTTGGGGACCTGCTACGAGGTACCAGTTTGTACTTATTGTGAGACTGGGAACCCCGGAAAAGCAGCATCCCTCACACATTCCCCAGTAGCAACATTCCAGTCAGGACCTTGATATTTCCAATTGTACCTTCCCCAAAAGAGAGAGGTTCTTGTTGAATCTGTGCAAATAACTGTTGCCACATAATTAAAATATACATAGTTAACTTTCCAGATTCTGGAGGATCAGATAGGGAGAAAAATATTTTACTATTACTCATGAAGATGTGAGTTACTAAATTGCTACAAGCTATAAATAACTTAAAAGGAAAAAAAATGTTTACTTAAATCTGGAAAATAAACCACTAACCAATAACCTTTCAAATAAAGTCATAAAATCATTGTCTTCATCAAGTTTCAGTCCACATCATTAATTCTTAAACAGCAACTCTTTATTCCCGAACTCACACCAGCCGTCTACAATCACGTTCTGGGGAAATCCACGTTCTCTGCCCAAATCCACCTCCACTGGGCTTCTATCTCCAAAATATACTGTCTGAATCCCGTGAG